GGCAGAAGTTCCGGCCCCACTCCCGGCTCCCTGAAGCCCACCCCGGGAAAGTTCCCGCCCTGCTCCCAGCAGCCTGGTGCCCCTCTCCTGGCTGCATACTGAATTACTAACATCTTGAGGACATAGCTCTGTCTTATCCTGCTTCAACTTCAGTGCCTCGCCTGGTGCCATGGACCTGAGTGGGTTCGCTGAGTGAGTGAATAATGAGTGAGTGAATGAGTGAATGAATGAGCGAGTAAGTGAATGAGCAAGTAGCTAACAGCGGGGATAGTTCGCACTCTGCTCTGAGCTGCCTGACGCCAACCCCAGGAAGTTCCCGGCCTGCTCCCAGCAGCCCCACTCCCCTCTCCCGGCTGCATAGTTCATGCAGGGCAAAGGCTGCCCTGGTGTGCGTTTTGGCAAATCAGTGCATTAGCACCTGCCAGCCTGGAATCCCAGTGGAGGGCCGTTTGTGGGCATGGCCAGTGGCAGATCAGTGCATTAGCACCTGTCCGGGGATCCCCACTGGAGGGCCGTTTGTGGGCGTGGCTGGTGGTCGATTGCTGGGGTTCCGCCGCCAGCCCTGGTTCTGTTCCCATACGGGCCTGCCACCCGGGTCACAAATAGCAGGCCCGGATGGCAGCGGGGAAGGCAGGATGGCGCTGTCCCGCCCTGCCTGCAGTATGCAAATTAGCCGCCATATTTGTTGGCAGTTAACCGGCATCTTGGCTGGTGATTAATTTGCATATCTCGCTGATTAGCCAATGGGAAGGGTAGCGAAGTTATGGTTAATTACCATGTTTCTCTAATATTAGATAGGATAGATGTTTATTTATATACTAGAGGCCCAGTGCACAAATTCGTGCATGGGTGGAGTCCGGCCCGCCCAGCCCCAATCAGCAGATCAGGGCCAGGCCTGTCAAGAGGAGGAGACAGTGGGAGGTTGGCCGGATGGCCTGCCCCAATCAGGGCCCGATCAGGGCCAGGCTGGCTGGGGGGGAGGGGCATAGGCAATTGGCCAGTGGGCCCTGCCCCCGATTGGGGTGGGGGAGCTGATTGGGGGCCAGCAGCCAGGGGGAAGGGCAGTTGGCTGGCTAGCCCTGCCCCTGATCAGGGTGGGGGGGGCATATCTGGGGTGAGGCTGGGCAGAGGGAGGAGCTGTGGGATTATCAGGGTGGTGGGGTCCCATCGGGGGTGGGGCAGGGCAGGGGGAGGGGCTTCAGAACATTGTCTGGCCAGCCCCGCCCCCTATTGGGGTAGGGGGGTCAATCAGGGGCAGGCTGACTGGGGGGAGGGACTGTGGGAGGTTGGCCGGTTTGCTGGCCACAGTGGGTGTCATAGTGACTGGTCATTCTGGTCATTACGTCATTACAGTTGCTGGCTTTTTATATATATAGATATGCTTATATTTAAGAGAAATGAATGACAGTAATGATACAAGGCATGGGTGGAAGGAATTAGATTATTTGTTAGGTATTTGCACTACCCACAAAGCAGTATAGTGTTATTTGGGGTTTTTTTGGTTGTCATTTTGTGTGTTTTTTTGTTAACCCTCACCCAAGGATATTTTTTCATTGATTTTTAGAGAGAGTGGAAGAGAGAGGGAGAGACAGAGAAAGAGAAACATTGACGTGAGAGAGACATATCAATTAGTTGCCTTCTGCACTTGCCCTGATCAGGGCCGGGGATGAGCCTGCAACCAAGATACATGCCCTTGACTGGATTTGAACTGGGACTCTTTAGTCCATGGGCTGATGCTCTATCCACTGAGCCAAACCACCTAAGGCTGTATAATGTTATTTGAAAGTAGACTTGGCTTAATTGCAAGTGTATATTGCAAACTCTAGGGCAACCACTAAAAAAAAAAAAAAAAAAAAAAAAAAAAAAAAATTATTTTAAAAGTATAACACATATATGAACGAGAGGAGAGAAAACAATCATAAAATGATTAATGAAAACTACAACAGGCAGAAAAAGGGTAGAACACAAAAAAGGGAACAAAGAATAGGGCATAAAATATAAAACAGAAAACAGTAAGAAATATAGTAGATAGTAAATCCAACTGTATCAATAATCACTTTGAACATCAATGGTCTAAATGCACCAATTTAAAGAAAGTGATAGCCAGAGTGGATTAAAATTAAAAAAGGACCAAGTACAAGTTTTGTGCAAGAAGCCCACTTTAAATATAAAGGCACATACAAATTAAAAATAAAGGAATAGAGAAAGATATGCCATAGTAATACTATTAAAAAGAAAGCAGGAATAGCTATAATTGAATTTCAGAGTGAACTTCAGAACAAGAAAGTAATCAGGAAAACAAGAAGCGTTATGTAATGATAAAAGCATCAATTCTCCAAGAAGACATAACAATTTTAACATGTACACACCTAGTAACATAATGTCAAAATACATGGGGCAAATACAGAACTGCAAAGAGAAATAGATGAATCCACTATTATAAATGGAGACTTTAACACACTTCTATTAGAAATGAACAGATCCAGCAAGCAGGAAATCAGTAAGGACATAAGTAAACTCAAAAACACCATCTATCAACTATATATAATAGATTACTTTATACAATAACAGCTGAATACATATTGCAAGCTAATGTGGAACATTCGCCAAGATATACCACATGCTGGGCCATAAAATACATCTTAACAAATTTAAAAGAACATAAGAAATTATATGGTGTCTGCTCTCAGACTTCATTGGAATTAGACCAAAAACGATAAAAGTAAGACAGCTGGAAAAATCCCAAAATATGGGCAGATTAGACAACACACTGCTAAGTAACACATCAGTCAAAGAAGAAATATCAAGAAAAATTAAACAGTATTTTGAACTAAATTAAAAAAAAAACAGTTTATAAAGATTTGTAGGATGTAGTGAAAGTGGGCTTAATGGAAATTTTAGCACTGAATGCTTACATTAGAAAAAAAAGATCTAAAATCAATTATCTTAAGCTTCCACCTTAGGAAACTAGAAAAAGAAGAGCAAATTAAATCCAAAGTAAGCAGAAGAAAAGAAATAAGACTTAGAGCAGAAATCAATGAAAACAAAATGAATAGGAAAAAAAATCAACAAAACCAAAACCTGGTTTCATTGTAAAGATCAATAAAAGTCAATAAACCACTAGCCAGGCTAACTAAGAAAAAAAGAGAGAAAAGACACAAATTACTAACATCAGAAATGAAAGAGGGAACATCACTACCAATCCCATTGGCATTTAAAGGATAATGAAAAAATATATGAACAACTCTATACCCACAAATTTGATAGCTTAGATGAAATGTATAAAATCTTTGAAAGACACAATTAGGGAAAATGCACACAAAAAGAAATAGAGTACTTGAATAGACCTATATATATTAAAGAAATTATATCAATAATTAATAACCTACCAAAACATGAAGCATCAGCTCCAGATGGGTTCACTGGTGAATTCTACTAAACATTTAAAGAAGAAATAATATCAATTCTCAACAATTTCCTTCAGAGAACAGAAATAGAAAAAAATACTTCCTAACTTATTCTATGAGGCCAGTATTACCCTAATATGGAAACCAATCAAAGTTAATGCAAGAAAAGAATACTACAGGCCAGTATCTAACAGATGTCAAAATCCTCAACAAAATATTAGAAAATCAAATATAAGAGTATAAATTGTATAGCATGACCAAGTGGGATTTGTTTCTGGTATGTAAAACTGGCTCAACATTTGAAAATTAATGTAACCAATCAATAATGAAAGAAAGAACAATGTCAAAGGACAGACACAACCCAACTTCAACACTTACTATAAAGCAACATCATCAAGACAGTGTGGTATTGGCGAACAGACAAATAGATCATCAGAACAGAACAGAGAACCCAGAAATAGACCTACATAAATATAGCCAAATGATCTTTGACAAAGGAGTAAAGGCAATACAACAGAACAAAGACAGTCTTTTCAATAAATGGTGCTGGACCAAGACATCCACATGCAAAGAAAAACAGAGTCTAGAAACAGCTCTTAGACTTCACAAAAATTAATTTCAAATATATCACAGACCTTAAAATAGATCACAAATTATAAAGTGAAAGAACAAAGCAGAAACATACTCTCCTCCCTCTCCTCTATCTTGCCTTGTAGGGCTGGGCCCTCAGCCCAAGCCCCCTCCTTTTCTGAGTGACCACAAGAATGCCAGTATTGTCCTAACTCCCCCAACCACCACCTGAGTGGACCAATGAAGCTCCAGGAATGCAGCTAAGGTCCTGATAAGGCTATAGTGGGGGACGGCTCAAGCCTCAGAATGTGCTGGTCACTTCCTGACCTTTGTGCTGTAAGACCCTGATGAAAAACCCTGACCTAAATGACCAATCTCTGTAACCCACATCACCCCCTAAGCCCACCCAAATAACTAGCCCTATATAACCTTTGTTCTCCTGGGGCACGCTCTCTCGCCTTACCGCTGCGTCGGACAGAGGCTGGGAGCCAAACCTAGGTTTGATTACTAAGACTCCTTGCTTTTGCATCGGAAGAGGCTCCCTGGTGGTGGATTTTTGGGGACCCTGAACTCTGGGCATAACATTTGGGGGCTCGTCAAGGATCCCCAAAAACCCACGAGGGACCCCACTCCGGAGAGTCTGCTGACCACGGTAAGTGTCTGTGTGTCGTCTGTTCTGTCCTGTGCGAGCTCACTTCTGAAATCTGTGCCTGATAAGATCTAAACTGGACGCACTGGCGGGATCTCAGGCAGGAGGAGTCAGGGGACGCCTTGAACCTCCATCTGGAGGGGTGTAAAAGCCCCTCACGAGGGGAGTGGATTCCCCTCAAACCTCTGGGACGAGGCGGGTCGCTCCCGCTGGCCGGCACACGGCCATCGTCCAGTTTTCAGTTTTTCTTCCGCGGGGTCAGAAGGCTGTTCTTAGGTGTCTTTGTTTGTTTGGTGTCTGTGTTCTTTTGTTTAATTTTGTGGACTCACTGGACGGACGCTATGGGACAGACTCAAACTACTCCTTTAAGCATTATGGTTGATCATTTTAAAGAGGTTAAGGGAAGGGCTAACAACCTCAGTGTAGAAGTGAAGAAGGGTCGATGGCAGACTTTCTGTTCCAGCGAGTGGCCGGCTCTCAATGCCGGATGGCCGCTGGAGGGGACTTTTGACCTCCCCACCATTCATCGGGTCAGAGAAGTCGTATCTCGGCCAAAGGGGGGTCATCCCGATCAGCTCCCTTACATTATTACTTGGCAGGACCTCGTGGAGGACCCTCCCTTCTTGCTCAAGCCCTTCCTGGCTCCACGCCCTCCGGAGCCGGCACCCATACTTGCCTTGCAGGACGCGGAGAAGAAGATGAAGGAGGAGAAAAAAACCACCTTGCCATCGGCTCCAGCTCCCCTCTACCCGGTTTTGCAGGGGGGTAATGAAGAAGAGTTAATTTTACCTCCCCCGTATCAGCTCCCCAGGACGCCGGAGAGATTAGATCCTGCCCCATCGCGGGAAGCTGACGCAGTTCCGGGTGTGGCCGGGAGCGCAGTTTCGGTTCCAGGTGTGTCTGGGAACGCAGTTCCGGTTCCGGGTATGGCCGGGAGCGCAGTTCCGGTTCTGGGTGTGGCCGGGAGCGCAGTTCCGGGGGTGGGAGTTCCGGGAATGGCCACGGTTCCGGTAGGAGGCCCGCCCCTCACCCGGCAGAGGGCTCAGCGGGAGCTGTCCGTCGCCGCACCCGATTCCACTATCAAGACCCTGCCCTTAAGGGCTGCCGGACCCCCAGATGCGGACAGCAATCAACCCTATCATTACTGGCCTTTCTCTACCAGCGATCTTTACAACTGGAAGGCGCAGAACCCTACATTCTCCGAAAAGCCGGGGGGACTTATTAACTTGCTAGATTCTGTTCTTTTCACCCACCAGCCTACATGGGACGATTGCCAGCAGCCTTTGCAGGTCCTGTTCACAATGGAGGAGAGCAAGAGAATCCTCAATGAGGCCCGGAAGGTGGTTCCCGGCGTAGATGGGAATCCAACTACCAACCAGGCCCAGATAGATGTCTCTTTCCCCTTAACTAGGCCTGAATGGGACTTCAACACGGCAGAAGGTAAGGAGAGGCTCCGAATCTACCACCAGACTCTGATGGGGGGTCTCCGCATGGCTGCTAGGAAGCCTACCAATTTGACCAAGGTAGGGAACATACAGCAGGAAAGGGATGAGTCTCCAGCTGCCTTTCTAGAATGGATCATGGAGGCATATCGCACCTATACCCCCATGGATCCAGAAGCTCTGAAAATAAGGCGGCTGTGGTCATGAGCTTTATAAACCAGTCAGCCACAGACATTAAAAAGAAACTGCAGAGGATAGATAGATTAGGGGAAAAGAGTTTTTGGGACTTGTTGGAAGTGGCTGAAAAGGTGTATAACAATCGAGAATCTCCTGAGGATAGGCAAGCCCGCGCCATGGTGGCTGCCAGTGACAAGCAGACCCGAAACCTGGCCAAGATTCTGCTAGCCACCACCACAGAGAACCCTGAGGAGCGGACCCGCCACCTTCGCCAGCTTGCCGATGACCAAGAAGGAGGTAAGGGGACTGCCCAGGGCAGGAAGAAGAAGCTGCAACGGAACCAGTGTGCTTACTGCAAAGAGATAGGACACTGGGTCCGGGAATGCCCAAAGAAGGCCGGTAAAAAAGGAAACAAGATGGATCGGGTGGAGGTCTTGGAGCTGGGAGGACTGAGTGATTAGGGGAGTCGGTGTTCGGACCCCCTCCCCGAGCCCAGGGTAACTCTTAGAGTGGAGGGGACGCCTGTTAACTTCCTTGTTGACACTGGAGCACAAACACTCGGTCCTACGCACACCTCAAGGGAAGCTAGCCAGCAAAAAGTCCTGGGTGCAAGGGGCAACTGGCATGAGCCAGTATTCATGGACTACCCGAAGAACGGTAGATCTAGGAATGGGCCGGATATCCCATTCCTTCATGGTAATACCCGAGTGCCCCTACCCCCTATTAGGATGAGACTTGCTGACCAAGATTGGAGCCCAAATAACTTTCAGACAAGGGGGGCCCCAGGTCACTGATGGCAAAGGCCATCCCATCCAGGTTCTGACTCTCAGACTGGAGGATGAATATCGTCTCCACCAAGGGGCACCCCCAGGAGAGAACAATATGGACAGATGGCTATAAGAATTCCCCACTGCCTGGGCAGAGACGGGGGGAGTAGGACTGGCCGCTCACAGGGCCCCAACCCTGGTAGAGTTAAAACCAGGGGAAAGTCCGATAAGAGTCAAACAGTATCCAATGCTCCAGGAGGCCAGGAAGGGGATTCAGCCTCATATCCGAAGACTGCGAAGCCTAGGGGTACTGGTTCCATGCCAATCTGCCTGGAACACCCCCCTCCTGCCAGTCAGAAAGCCCCGCACGAATGACTACCGACCAGTCCAGAATCTCTGAGAAGTAAATAAAAGAGTTATGGATATACACCCAACCGTTCCTAACCCGTACACTCTCCTAAGCTCTTTAGCACCCTCTAGAGTCTGGTACACTGTATTGGATTTGAAGGATGCTTTTTTCAGCCTGCCACTCGCGCCTCAAAGCCAACCCTTGTTTGCCTTCGAATGGCACGATCCAGAGGAAGGCTACAGTAGACAATTAACCTGGACGCGATTACCCCAAGGGTTCAAGAATTCGCCCACCATCTTTGACGAGGCACTGCACGAGGACCTCGGTGAGTACAGGAGAGAACACCCCAGTCTCACCCTCCTTCAGTATGTAGATGACATCCTGGTTGCTGCAGACACTGCCAAGGACTGTGAGCAGGGGACCAAAGACTTGTTGGCCACCCTAGGGACCTTAGGGTACTGGGCCTCTGCGAAGAAAGCTCAGATGTGCCAAGAGAGGGTGAGTTACCTGGGGTACATACTGGAGGGCGGACAGCGGCGGCTGTTGGACGCTAGGAAAGAGATACACAAGACAGCCGTTATGCATTTGCTACGGCTCATGTTCACGGGGCGATTTACCAGGAAAGAGGGCTACTGACAGCAGAGGGACCGACAGTGAAAAACAAACAGGAGATTCTCGACCTGCTTGCGGCCCTATGGCTTCCCGCGAAGCTAGCCATTATCCACCCGGAGGGAAGTAAGGGAATTCCTAGGATCAGCTGGCTATTGCCGCCTCTGGATCCCAAGTTTTGCTGAGATCGCCAGGCCCCTATATGAAGCTACCAAGGAGGGAAAGGCCTTTGAATGGACTGAGACAGAGGAAATTGCCTTTAATCAAATAAAGAAAGCCCTTTTAGCTGCTCCAGCCCTGGGCCTGCCAGACATTACAAAACCCTTTCGTCTCTTTGTGGACGAACACAAGGGAATAGCGAAAGGGGTTTTAACTCAGGCTTAGGCCCCTGGAGCCGCCCGGTAGCGTACTTGTCTAAAAAGCTAGATCCCGCAGCCGCCGGCTGGCTGCCGTGCCTAAGAATCATTGTGGCAACCGTGCTCTTAGCCAAGGATGCCAACAAATTGACCCTGGGACAGGAAATCTGGGTAACAACCCCGCATGCCATTGAGGGAGTCCTAAAACAGCCTCCTGACCGATGGATGAGCAATGCACGCATGACCCACTATCAGAACTTACTGCTCAACCCTCCTAGAGTGCAGTTCCATCCCAGCGTGGCTCTCAATCCCGCTACCCTGCTGCCTGACCCCGACCTAGATGCCCCGCTGCATGACTGTGTGGGGATCCTGGAGCAGGTACATGGACTTCGGAAGGACTTGACCGACCGGCCCCTCCCTGATGCAGAGGCCACCTGGTTGACGGATGGAAGCAGCTTCGTGCGGGACGGGTGCAGGTACGTGGGTGCAGCGGTGGTCACCGACACAGACACTGTGTGGGCAGAAGCACTGCCCCCTGGGACATCAGCCCAGCGAGCAGAACTCATTGCTCTCTCCAAGGCACTGACACTGGAGGCGGGGAAGCGGCTCAACGTTTACACAGACAGCCATTATGCATTTGCTACGGCTCATGTTCACGGGGCGATTTACCAGGAAAGAGGGCTACTGACAGCAGAGGGACCGACAGTGAAAAACAAACAGGAGATTCTCGACCTGCTTGCGGCCCTATGGCTTCCCGCGAAGCTAGCCATTATCCACTGTCAAGGGCACCAGAAGGCAGATGACCCAGTAGCAAGAGGTAACCAAAAGGCTGATCAGGCAGCCAAGGCAGCGGCCTTCACCTCGGTCCCCGCTATGGCCTTACAACTACCAGACCCCGGGGACCCAGTTCTACCAGACCAGCCCAGGTACTCTCAGGAAGAGCTGCAGCAGATCAGAAAGCTTCCCCTCGCTAAGGAGGTGAAGGGATGGATGGTGGTACACCTCAGATGAGAAACTCATACTACCAGACTGGCTTGGGGTCACAGTATTAGAACACATGCATCGGTCCACCCCCTTGGGAGCCCGGAAGTTAAAGAACTTAATTCAGCATGCCAAAATCAAGATTCACCAACAAGACTCCAAAATCAATCAAATTACAACCTCCTGTAAGACCTGCCAACTCACAAACGCAAGAGCTGGATCAGGTGGACAAGGAACCAGGCTCAGAGGCACCAAACCAGGAGCACACTGGGAGGTTGACTTCACTGAAGTCAAACCAGGGAAGTATGGTTATAAATATCTTTTAGTGTTCATAGACACCTTCTCTGGCTGGGTAGAGGCATATCCAACCAAGCATGAGACAGCCCAGACGGTGGCCAAGAAGCTGCTGGAAGACATCTTACCCAGGTATGGTTTTCCTGCTATGATAGGCTCCGACAACAGACCAACCTTTATTTCGCAGGTAACACAGGCAGTAGCCAAAGTCATAGGGGCGGATTGGAAATTACATTGTGCTTATAGGCCCCAGAGTTCAGGGCAGGTAGAAAGAATGAATAGAACTCTAAAAGAGACCCTTACCAAATTAACCATGGAGATTGGCGGAGACTGGGTGGCTCTCCTTCCATATGCCCGTTACCGGGTGAGGAACTCCCTTTACACCCCGGGTCTCACCCCTTACGAGATCATGTTTGGTAGACCCCCGCCCCATCATCCCTAACCTCAAAGCTGAACTTCTTGCAGAGTTTGAAAATCAGGAGATATCTTTTCTCTTAAGAGGACTGCAGGGGGCACACGAGGACATTTGGCCACGCCTTCGCGCTGTTTACGAGGCTGGCCCAACCCCGAGGCCTCATCAGTACAAGCCAGGAGACTGGGTGTTCGTTAAGAGGCACAGCCGGGAGACCCTCGAGCCAGGTTGGAAGGGCCCCTACGTCGTCGTGCTGACTACACCCACCGCTCTCAAGGTAGATGGCATCGCGACTTGGATCCACCACACCCACACTCGCCCAGCCGACCCCTCTGCAATCCGGGAGGACTTCATCGCGCAATGGAACATCGAACACAATCAGCACAACCCGCTCAAGCTCAAGCTATGGCGCATTCAACCCGGCTGATGTTGGTAACTCTATTGACCCTGTTCGCTGTCGCCCATACTGCCAGGAGTCCCCACGCCCCCTACAATCTTACCTGGCAAATCATAGACACCAGTTCGGGGACTGTACTTAATCAGACCTCCCAGTTGCACCCTAAAAACACTTGGTACCCGGACCTCTACATAGATTTGCTAGACCTCATCCGCGTTTCATAGGACCCTAGTTTCACCCGGGGCTACCATTTCTATGTCTGCCCCGGGCACTCTCGGACTCCACGAGGCCGCACCCGGGACCCATGCGGAGGAGCGGAGGACTATTTCTGTGCCTCCTGGTCGTGTGTCTCAACGGGACATATCTGGTGGACTCCCCCAGAAACCGATGACCTGATAACCATGGCTCGGCTGGCGGTACCAGCCTGTCAGAAATATAGCAAGGGTCTCCACACCCCATGCAACCCTGTGCGGATATCCTTCACAGAACAGGGAAAGAAAGCAACAGGATGGGACACTGGTAAAACCTGAGGAATTCGCCTCTATGATAAGATTAGACTCGGGGCTATGGACCATGGAGGATTATTTACCCTTCGAGTACAGGCAGCACCCCCTCACCAACAGACTCCAGCAGGAGTGGGACGTAACCAAGTGCTGGCCCCCCGACCTGTCCCTACCCAGGAGTCCCCACCCAAGAGCACCCGAGCCCCGGCCTCCCAGCCCTCTGCATCCCGTTTCTACAGGGGCACCTCCCACCCCAAGTCACTCCCTACCATCTAATGCAGACCTCCTGTGGAAAACGGTTGAAGGAGCGTATCGCGTTCTGAATGCTTCTAGACCTGACCTAACCGAGTCTTGCTGGCTCTGTCTAGATGTCAAACCACCGTACTATGAGGGCATCGTGATTAAGGGCAATTATACAGCAGCCTTGACTGCCAACTCCTGCAGGTGGCAGCAAACTGCTACAAGGCTAACCCTCCAGGCGGTGATAGGGCGGGGAACTTGCATAGGCAACGTCCCCTCTGAACAGTCACATCTCTGTAACGAAACTCTAGCTACCCCTAAAGAGACAGCATATCTTCTGCCCCCTGAGAATGCATGGTGGGCCTGTTCCAGTGGCCTCGCTCCCTGCGTCCATTCCTTAGTCCTTAATTCCCAAAAAGAGGGTTTCTGCATACTTGTGCAGTTAATCCCTAAGCTGATATATCACTCAGGAGAAGTTCTTGACAGAATAGACACCATTAACCCCCGAAGCAAAAGGGAGCCTATTACTGCCGTAACTGTGGCAGCTCTCTTGGGACTAGGACTAGCGGGAGCCGGAACTGGAATATCCTCGCTTGTCATACAAGACAGGAACTATGGAGCCCTGAGAGCAGCCATTCACTTAGACATAGAAAGAATTGAGAAATCCATCACCCATCTGCAAGAATCCCTTACTTCCTTGTCTGAAGTAGTACTCCAAAACAGAAGAGGTTTAGACTTGCTATTCATGCAGCAGGGGGGCCTATGTGAAGCTCTAGGGGAGGAATGCTGTTTCTATGTTGATCACTCAGGAGTTGTAAAAGAAACCATGGCCCTTGTGAGGGAAGGACTGCAGAAGCGAAAGCTAGAGAGGGAGCAGTCTCAGTCTTGGTATGAATCCTTGTTTAATTGGTCCCCATGGTTAACTACTCTTGTCTCGGCCCTCGTCGGAACCCTTGTAATCCTCCTAATGTTGCTAACTTTCAGCCCTTGTA